TAAAAATATTTCAAGACTGACCTGTTTTTATATTTATGATGAAAAGAATTGACAAAAGATTGTAAGTGTAGCTCAGGATACAATGTCTACTATTGCCTTTCCTGCTATGATTTTTTTCTTGTTCTTTTAGTTTTATGAGAGAAAAATTGCTTATACATCTCATTTTAGAAAGAAGAATTACATTGGAGGAGGAGGAGGAAAAAAGAAGTTAAACAATGTAATCAAAGAACAGTCCGACCGTTTTAATCTGGCACTCCATGGCCCGACAACTCCTATGTCGGACACTTTTTAAACCAGTCGCCATTAGTTTGCTGAATGGATACAAGGACAGTGCCACACGTTGTTTACAACTTTCTACAGCAGCCGAGGTGTTTTGGTGATACAGTCTTACTCATTTTTTACATACAGCTGCATATTAACCAATTCAGGTTAGTAAGTATAAATTATTTTTTAGTTTTAGGCATTTTTTTTTTTTTTAGCCTCTGTATTTCATGAAACAATAAAAAGCTTGTTTGGAAGCATTAATGATTATTTTATTTCCTGTCTTAAACTTTCTTCAATTTTTGATAACACAGCAATATTTATGAGGAATGAGCTGACAAGACCGTTTATATAGCGTTTTCTTTTTTCAAGCCTTTGATTTCTGTCATAATGGCATTTCTGTGGTTTGGCAGTTGACAAAAACATGCCAGATTAAATTTTAAAATAATTTTAGCCGTTTCCCTACAAGAAAACATTTGGCATTTATTGACCAAGACGCCAGTTCTGCTTTTGGTTTAAAATTATAAAAATCATTCTCTTAAAACAATTTCTCATGAAAGTAGGTTTTTCAAGTCCATTAGTTGTTATCCCTCTGTTCAACATTGATGGAGGTTTCCTTTCTAACCTTTCATTTGAAGTTATGTGGTATGTCAACATCTTGATTATGTCAGGTTATCGGTAAGAATTCTTTCAATTCTGCAAGGAGAATTTTCAAATAATCTCAAGAAAATGGTACTCGAAAGTTTGCAAAAGTTCAGTTTTATTTCATAAATGTATTTCATGTTAGGCTGCAATAATTTATGAACTTACTCAATTTCCTTCTATTCAATAAAATACACTGTAACCTTATATAATCAGAAACTGAATAGAAAATGAAATTCAGTAAATATAGGAAAATAGAAAGGCGTGTTAGATAAGCAAGTGACTTCTCATTGGAATTATTCAACCTACACAGTGATGTCACGGTGGAGTAATGGATTACACTAAATTGCAAATTGGAGGAGCCGAGTTTGAATCGTGATCAGATCTATTACATTCACTTTCTTTATGTGTTATTTCCCTTGGAAAAGTATGTATCCTCTTCTTCTCCGTTTATTCTATGGGTAATTGGCCTTTTAGTGGATTCTACAGACTTGGATGGCAACTGGTCCAGTGCAGAAAGAAATGGCAACCTACTGCAGGAAAAAATCTGCTTCATCAGTCATGCATTGAAAGATACATTGTATTTATATCTGTAAAAATATCAATGCATAAGTTTTTTATTGACTAAGGCAAAAAGTACTTGAACAAAAACAGCACAACAAACACGAACATTGGACAGTTTATCCATGATTTGACCTAAACATGGATGTTATGATTAACAAAGTTGGTACAAATAACAGAATTAGCATCCATGACTTCAATAAACTTTTCACCAATGTTAATAATGGTTTCCCCTCTTTAAAAAAAAACAAATATTTTCCATTCCTGACAACCTTTAAAAAACATTGCCCTTTTACATGAATTTAAGTGTGCTTCAGAGATAACATCTAGATGGACCTGCTCACCATTAGATAGCTAAATTCAACTGCCATTTCTACTCCAACGTTTTCTTTTCATCACTTCCACCAATGGAACTCCATTCTGTTTACTTGCATTCCTGATAACTACCATCTTGAAAAATTTAAATGCAACATCAATCACCATCTTCTATCTTTTTGAATCCCATTCATCTTTTGTCTTTTCCTCAATCCTCCCTATTCTCAATTTTTTCTTTCACTAACACCTGTAATCCATTTCACAACTTCTCAACCAAAAAAAAAAAAATCAGTTGAAACCATTTTTTTTAACATGTAATAATGGATATAACAAAATTCAAAAGAAAATATGTTTCATAATTAAATGCTGACATTTAAAACTACTTCAAACAAAATATCTGGAAGGAAGCCGCTATTGTTACTGGAAAGAGCAAGAACAGTTACTGGACTTGAGACACATATTTTCTAGTAAAAATCTTATAATAGAAAGATTTTATAAATTTCAACCTAAAGTAACACTGGCTGTTCAGCCAATTAATACTGAATGTTTCCTTATAAGGAAACAGCTAATATTGTCAAAAATTTCTTTTGACTCAAAGGGTATATCAGAAGCCGGTCTGGTACAGTAAGTTTTATGAAACACTGCCTAGTCTTGTGACCCCAAAATTCAGTCAGGGATCAATTAACCATTTGAGCCCTGCATTCTTAAACAATTTTAACCCTTCTGCCTGAGCTCCTGGTCAAATTTTTCAAATAATTGGTATGTAATGTTACGTGGTAGATATCCATTACAAGTTTTTTTTACTCACTGTTTAACTAATTAGCTGGGCATTTTTTTTTTTTCTACTACCGCCATAAAGCAGTATGTCAAGGCTCAAAGGTTTAATAATAAACTGTTTGTGCCAAATGGTTATGTTCTCATAAAGTCTCTCTCAAAAAAAAAAGACAAAGGAAGGAAAAAAGGCCTACGAGTAACAAGGTGGCAGACCTTTATCCTTCTTTTCAGTAAAACAATTACAAAAACCAGTGATTCAACCAGCCTCACTTTGAAAAACAAGCCATGGTAAACAGTCTCAAAACCTACCACACACACAAGTAATTTCACTTAATTTTTACACAGTATTACCATTATCTGAAAAATTGGTTGAGTTTAATAAAACCTGTTTTGGATAATTATTCTATATATATATATATATATATATATATATATATATATATATTATAAATAAATCCTAATGAGCCAGGTATTCTCTACCTAGGTTTTATGTCATACATGGGATCATCAGGCGTGAAATGATATTAATTTCTCCTTTACCCCCCCTGGATGCCAATTTATTTGAAAATTGTTTCGTCAGATTTTTAAACGTTATTTATATATATATATATATATATATATATATATATATATATATATTTGCAGCCATATATATATATATATCGACATATGTGTGTGTGTGTTTATATATATATATATATATATATATATATATATATATATATATAAATATAAAAACTAATTTGTTTGAAAAATTTGGAACAAAATTTGTTAATCAAATCAATTTATTAGAAAAATTTATATATATATATATATATATATATGTGTGTATATAAGTATATATCTGATCATTTTAAAATTTTCAGTTATCTGTTTTGGATAAGACTTGTTTTTATGTCCATCGTCTTTGTCAAATTGAACTGAATTGTATTTTAATGAATATTGTCTTGAAAAGGTTTATTAAACCGAAACGTCAGACGTCGACATTTCATTCATTTTAAACAACATAATTGCATTTAAGGATTTTTGTTTTTTTTTCCAAATTTTTCTTCATATATATATATATATATATATATATATATATATATATATATATATATATATATATATGTAATGTACATGTTTAATAAATGTGAATGTCACTGTGTCACACTTTTTCAATTAAAGGTACACAACTCTGTAACTTTCAATAGCTCATGAGACAGAAATTTTGGATTCCCAAGTTTTCAAGACTGCAATTGTTTACCATGATTTATTTTATACAATAATTTTTATAACTTGGAAATAAATTTAGGAATAATCAGAATTAGTTGCAAACTCCAGCTAAAGTCACCTATGAAATAAAATTAATTATTTGTACAGAAAGTAAGGATCCAGGCAAAGACATGTATGGAGAACAAGTTGATCAGGCAAGGCTGAATTGTGCATTTAAGCAAACCTTCTCTCATTATAGAGCTCTTGAAATTTTTCATATCTCCATATAAACAAAGCAAGATTTTTCTAAGGAACATAATGGATTTTATTAATCCAACAGATTGTTTAATATTCAGGCTGGTAGATGAAAATAAATAAATATACTGTTTAATAAATAAATAGAACGTCTACTCAAATATGAGTATCCACTAACAATAATAATTAAAGCAATAAATTCTATCGGATTAATAATAAATAAAAAACCATTACTTCTTTAGAAATTAATTTGTTTACGTTAGGATACGAAACGGAGCAGATATGTATATTTTGAGAGCCTGGGTAGGATTTGCATTTATAAAACACTATTCAACTTTGCTTGATCAGTGAAGCACATCGTGACTGAGACGTCTAAAGTATATCAGATCTAACAACAGTTTCCCTGTCCAGTTTTGAATCCTACTAAGAAGCACATGTTTTTCTTTAATATGATTTCTTGAATATTCAGGTGGATAGATGAAAATAACTAAATCTACTGTTTAATAAATAAACGGAGTATCTACTCAAATATGAGTATTATACATAATTTGAAATTATTCCCCTGAGAAATTTTTCCACAACAAAGAGTGCAATCAGTGCTTGAAATAAATCCTACAAGAATTCCTTTGGACACAAAGGTCAAAGGTTGAAGGTCGAAGAAAATAACATTCCAAATTATCTGACATACTCAAGAGGCATCTATTTCAGAAAGCAGCACGGTAGAGGTGAGGAGAAACACAGGAAGTTGAAACCCCAAAAAAAAAGCCTCATCAGGATTTCAGATTCTGGGGAATGGAATGTAAAAATACACACATGGGAGGGGGGAGTAGCTTCAGGGGAAAGAAAAAAAGGAGTGAAGGATTCCACTGACACTGCATCTTGTTCTGTTTTGACTTTTTTCTTTTTTATCAATTTCTCTTTCACTCTTCCTCACCATGTGTAATTCTTAATCCTCTCATCTCTCACCCAGCTTCCCAAATTCTCTCTCTCCCTTTCACGGACCCCCCCCTCCCTCTGATATTTCTGGGGAAAAAGATTCTGGTGAGGAGAGACAGGGAATTCTTGGCTTCTTTTCTAGTTCAACTCCTTCATGAAAAGGCAGTTCCTCAGCCCTTCCATTTCCTAAGATGTAATCAATCTGTCCCACCCACAAGAGACAGTCAACAACTGCAGATGTCAGTAGAGGTGACAGGGAGTGGAGTATTTCAAAAGTGGTTTTATATATATATAGGAACATCAATAAGTTCATAGACTAGTGAGGAAAAAAGCATTTATCTTAAGCAAGAAATATTTTTCAACAGCATCTCCTATCCTGTCATCCTGTCACTTAATTTAATAGTGAATATTAGTCCTATAAACAGAAAATTATACAGTGAAAATTTCAGATCAAAATTCAATTTAGGCTACTGATTTATTGATTTATGCTTACATGGGATAGGTTGACAAATTTTACAGCCTATTACGTCTTACTGAGTTATTTATTGTTTAATATTGTTTTTAAATTTATTAATACTGAAGACTAAAAAAAGAAATGGTCATGCTTGTACTCAAATTAACAGGTAAATATAGGTCAGGTTTATACATGAGTCAATAGGCAAACACAGGTTGGATTTATATTCAAGTCTATAGGCAAACATTATTATTTGTGTTTATACTTGAGTCTACAAGCAAACACTGGTCAGATTTATACTCAAGTCTAGAAGCAAACACTGGTTGGGTTTATACTCGAGTCTATGGGCAAACACTGGTCGGGTATATACTCAAGTCTCAGGGCAAACGCAGGTTGGGTCTATACTCGAGTGTTCAAGACAAACAAGGTTGAAGTCTATACTAGGATCGATGTATAGGCAAACGCATGTTGGTCTATACTTGGTGTATAAAGGAAAGCATGATTGGTCTATACTAGTGTATAAAAAAAAGCAGGTTGGGTCTATACTCAGCCTTATATAGGCAAATTTTAGTTGGGTTTATGAGTGTATTGCAAACGTAGGTTGGGTTTATACTAGAGTGTATAGGCAAACATAATTATTTGGGTTACTAAAAACATTCAGGCAAACATTGAGTCTATTTTTATTTTTCGCCTGAAGGTGATCCCTTCTGAGTGGGTTTTAACACTCTCATCACCAGCTGAACAAACCCTTGCATATATCAGAGGCATGAACAAGACTCCCTGGCAAATTGAAACTTTAACAATGATAAAATTTGAACTAAACATGTGCAGTACAAAATTGAAACATATGCAGTGTTGAGAAATATGTATGTATACTAAGAGCTCTAACCAACTGTCATAAGGGAATTATCAATTGACATAATTTGTAAAGTAAAATATCTGTGGAAATACATGTCAATTTTTTTCAAGTTAAATTTTTCCCTTTATCCTTTGATCAAAGTTCGTTTAAAAACATTAGAAAGGAAAAAGACTAACCATGAGCTATTACAATCTAAGGTTATCAGCAATATATACAGTCCAAGATGTGAGTCGCTAAGTGGAGACGTCAAAATCAAATACAGAAGTTTAAAAAAGCAAAAAGGTGAAGAAGAAAAGAATAAGCAAAAGGTGAGGAAGAAAGAATAAGCAAAAATTTTGAAGAAGAAAAGAATAAGAAAAAAAGGTGAAAAGAAAGAATAAGCAAAAAGTGAGGAAGTAAAAGAATAAGCAAAAAGGTGAGGAAAAGAATAAGCAAAAATGAAGAAAAAAGAATAAGCAAAAAAAAAGAAAAAAGAATAATCAAAATTTTGAGGAATAAAAGAATTAAGCAAAAACTTTGAAAGAAAAAGAATAAGCAAAAAATTGAGGAAGAAAGAATAAAGCAAAATCTTTGAAGAAAAAGAATAAGCAAAAAGGTGAGGAGAACCAAAGAATAAAAAAAAAGGTGAAGAAGAAAAGAATAAGCTTTAAGAAGAAAGAATAATCAGAAAAATTGAAGAAGAAAGAATAAGCAAAAAGGTGAGGAAGAAAGAATAAGCAAAAAGGTGAAGAAGAAAGAATAAGCAAAAAGGTGAAGAAGAAAGAATAAGCAAAAAGGTGAGGAAGAAAGAATAAGCAAAAAGGTGAGGAAGAAAGAATAAGCAAAAAGGTGAAGAAGAAAGAATAAGCAAAAAGGTGAGGAAGAAAGAATAAGAAAAAAAAATTATTGAGGAAGAAAGAATAAGCAAAAGGTGAAGAAGAAAGAATAAGAAAAAAGGTGAGGAAGAAAGAATAAGCAAAAAATTGAAGATTAAAAGAATAAGCAAAAAAAGGAAAGGACTTCAATGTCTGCAAGGAGAAGAAGAAAGAATAAGAAAGAAGGTTGAGGAAGAAAGATATAAGCAAAAAGGTGAGGGAAGAAAAGAAGAATAAAAAAAGGTGAAGAAGAAAGAATAAACAAAAAGGTGAGGAAGAAAGAATATTCAAAAATGAAAAAGAATTAAAAAGGTGAAGAAGAAAGAATAAAAAAAAATGAAAAGAAAGAAAATGTTGAAATCTAAAAGAATAAGCAAAAGGCAATTAAAGAAAAAGAATAAGCAAAAAGAGGGAAGAAATAAGAATAAAGCAAAGAAAAAGGCAAAGAGAAAAAAAAGAAAAAAAAGTGAAAATGAAAGAATAAGCAAAAATGAAAAAGACAGGAAAAAGTAAAAAAGAATGCAAAAGAAAAAATAAGCTAAAAAAGCACAAAAATTGAAACACAAATGAAACTGATGAGAGCAGCAATTTTTATTTTTTTTGGTGCATCCCAGAAGCCATCAGCTTGACAAATGATTTCCTGTTTAATGTCCTTCGACAAATGTTTTTTTTTATCTAAGCTCTAGAAAATAATAAACTTTCTTTTTAGATTTTCCTTTTTCTTTATCAAAGAACTCCTCACTTTTCTTTTGTCATTTATAAACTTTAGATTGGATTTTTAAACTCAACTACAGAATGCTAACAATACTTTTTTAAAGAAACTTCATTGAGCGAATAAGTAAAAAAAGCACAGGACTTTTAGTGGAGCACAAATGCACACACACTCTCTTGTATATATATATATATATATATATATATATATATATATATATGAGAGAGAGAGAGAAATATCAAATTTACAAATTTATACATCAGACTAATACTGGGTAATCAAGTGAAAAAATGGAAAATAAATCGTAACTACTACATTTCATCCCTTGGAGGAACTTTAAAAAACAAATAATGGTTTTTTCGATGAGTCAGTATATATATATATATATATATATATATATATATATATATATATGCATAAAATGTCTGTGCAAAAAAAATGCTAAATATACATTTTGAGCCAGGAAATTTTGACTTTTATAAAATTATATATATATATATATATATATGTGTGTGTGTGTGTATATATATATATATATATAGAATTAATACAAATATAAAGTTTGTCACTTAGTTGATTGGTTTTACCTTCAAGCATCCTGACTCCAGAACTTTCGTAGACGGTCTGTCTCCAATAACCACTCTGTACACTTGTTTGTGGGTATCAGCAATATATATTTTTCTATATCAAAAATAGCATTGAGGAAATTGTGAGACAAAATGGAGAAAGACTTTTTTGTAACTCATTTCATCTATTAGGACTTCATCAGAATGTGTTTGTTGACACTGTTGGGACTATATATGTACATGAATGCAAGACGCTGGTAGTTTCAAAATTTTTGAAAGAATTTTTTTGCAATCTAGCCAAATTCTTTTACTTTTCATCATCTTTGAGAATTCCCTAGGACGATAATGTGATACAAAATGTTTTAATCATATAAATTCAACAGTAAATTTATGTCCAGGTTCTTACAGCATTTCACCATTTTTGGTAGATTTTCTGTTATCACAACGTGGGACATTTTAATCCCACATTATGATAACAGAAAATCTGTGGCTGAATTAGTGATTAAAGAACTTTCCAGATATTTTCAGCTTAGTGAATTATTTTCTCTTAATTAGAGTAGCACTTTTCATGTCAAAATTGTGGTCAGTTTAATTATGGTGAACAACCAATGTGTTTTTGTGTGTTGTTTCTTAAAATGTCCCTTTTGTATCCATATCGTCTTTTGTTTAAACTTCTTGAGTTTTTTTCAGTATATTCTTTCTGGCAATCCTTGAAATTGATAGAGTAAATTCCTCCTTCATGTTTTGGCTTATTGTTTTGTTTTGTTTGATTATTCTTTGATTGTTTTAGATGTATTTATACGGAATTTTATGGTGAGTTTATAGAAATATATTTTGGCTGTAGTTGTGATAGAGTTAGTGGGTAGGATAATATATTTTTTGATTTGTTGGGTGTGTCAGGAATGACAGCTCTTCTATTTCAGAATATTTTATGAGACTTTTGTTTCACATTGAATATGAAATAGGGTATTGAAGGGCCTTAAAAGTATTTTCAATATATTTCTCCTCTTTGTGTAAATATTAGGGGCTGCAAATTGTGAGTGCTCTTAAGTAGAATCCAGTGATCATTCTGGATTTTATTTTGTTGTTATGAAGAGAATAGAAGTTTATTAGTTGATTTTCAAAAGATCTTAAGTTTTAGGCTGCTGTCAACTCAGTGTAACATGATGTCTAAGTATGGTAAAATATCATATATATATTTAATATATAAAGAAATAATCATACATAGAATCAATCAGCAATATTAATGCGATTAATGGCTAAATCATTTCGCTAGTAGAACATAATGTATGCATTAAAATACTGTTAATCCATTGAATGATGTGATCATCATTTATAAAACTGTTGTCAGATGTTTCTAGTGTATATTTTTTTTAAGTTAAGCAAGTACGCAGAAGATACATGTCTCCATCATCAGGCTGTAATTTTTTTTTCATTTTAAAGTTAAAACTTGAAGATGAAATAATTGTTTGTAGACCAAAAAGATGTTTTTAAGAATGCTATTTATTGCCTAATTTGTACAAAAAAAACGTAAAGTCCTGGCGCTAAAGTTCAAAATTTCAAGTGAGAATATTTATATGAATTTTGTAATATGGTAAATCCACAAATTCTTTTTTTACAAGTGTTTTTACAAGTATATAATAAATAAATATATATACATTTTAAAGGTAATGGATTTTTATTTATTAATCTGACAGATTTTTCCACTTTAAACTAAGTACGTCCAAAGATTTTCTTAAAAAAGAGCATCTCAGGATGAAAAAGGCTCAGACTTGATAAGAACAGTTTTATCATCAAAATGTTTATGTTATTATTAAGAGGAAAGACCAATGTATTTTTTATTAAATTTTTTAATCCTTTCTAGCACATTTGAAATTTGGTTAAAATTCTTGTTTTTCTTGCATTAGCATTAAGCCAGAAATTAGTATGGAAAATTTAGTTTCTTTTTTGCAATAAAAACTGCATTGTTTTGAAAATTCTTGCAAAAATTAAATAATTTTTGGATTTTAATTAAATTTTCAGGACTTATTCACAAATGAATTAAATTATCTTTTAAATATATATTTTTTTAGAACATCTTGGTAAAAATATATATTTGTTTTTTTTACATCTGTCATCCCCACTTACTTAATTTTATGAAATTTCAAGAAATCAGAATTCCACTCTCTTCATACTTATATTAGTTAAAATAGGTCTCCTCCTTGGATAATTTAAATCATCAATTTGTTTTTATCAAACATAAATACCATTTACCAAAATCTTCTCTGAATCATAAAATAAAAAATGCTATAAAACTATGGCAATATTTAATTAGAAAAGCTTTTAATTGCTTTTATAAATAAGATAGATTAAGAACATTATTCTCTGAAGAAAAATAAATTTATTTTTAAAAGAACTGTTTTAATTTTTTTAAAATATTAATTATGAAAATTTGTTTTAAATCTTTTAAAATTCTGTATTAATTTCAGTGGTTTTGATGATATTATTAAGTGAAAATTATAATTACTAATCATAAATGAAAAATATTAATACAAAGAACTTTAATTATAGACACTGCTTTAAAAGTGTTTTCTTCCAGAAGTACCCAAGGCAATTTTTTTTTTTTTTGCAAAACATCTCTACTATTTATATATATATATATATATATATATATATATATATATAGTTTGGACATTTATGTGTCTATCATATGAAACATCTTGATCCTTCATCAAGGTTGAAAGGTCATTTGGGGAGGCATTCTATATTGGTAGCTGGTCAGATAGGTGGTTGCCTAATTCAATTTTATCCATCTTGCACCATGTCTAGGTATCCAGAGCACTAGATCAGTTACAAGTTCTTGTTTTGCTCACTAGCATTGTCCTGAAAAGTACATCCTGTATTCATGTAAGATTATAGAAATATCAAGAATAAATCCATAGAGCTGCGATATAGCTGGATGTTTCAGAAAAAGATGTTTTTATTTTATTATATTTTCCAAAAAGAGAAAACTTGGGGGTTTTAGTTAATATCCAAGCAGTGGCATCATACATTAACAATGCCTCTACAGTGGCTCAAAAGTATCTCCGCTCAGATTTACATCCATTTTATTCAAAGTGGCCCAGGCTTTAGCTATGTGAATTTAAACATGCTTTTCAGTAGAATTTATTTTGCTTCCTAGGTATGTAAAATATTCAACAGATTTTATTGATTAATCTGAGACAGTTTGTATTAAGACTTGCTGGTTGAAGCCTATAAATTCAGTTTTAGAGGCATTGGCATAGAGTCCAACATTATTGACAGCATTTTTAGATGATGTAGGATAATTGTAGCATTGATAATGATGCCTTCAGTAATAGCTTGGTTATCTGCATAGTCAATATCTGTCAACCCTTTTGCAGGATATTGAATTGAAAGTCTTGGTGATAAATTAAAACCTAGATGATGAATGTCAAGGCAAGTCCTCAATATGTAGTCAAGGGAGATAAAGTGAAAATATGCAAAGGTTTACCTTGAAGGACCACTGCTTTTAATGTTAAAGAAACTAGTGGTTCTGTCTAAGGGTATAACCAAAGATCTGGTATTTTTGTATAGCATCATTATGGCAGTTACTCTCTCAGGGGTGGATGTTATATGTCAGAAGGATTTTCTCAATTTTTCCCTATGAACAGAATCAAAGGCTTTTGAGCTGGTATGTCCAAAATCCTGCCCAGGGGCCAATTATGGCCCACAGTCAAATTTTATATGGTCTGCATCCTTTGTCATGGAATGTATCACTCATGGTACTGCCAGTATTGTCAATCAGAGTATGTAAAGTACACACCTAAGAAATACAATTTTATGTTTTACCAAAAGATGACAGCAGCACTAAACGGTCCACCCTCACAAGTTTGACACTGACCCTTTGCCTTTCCAGCCAATTTCTAAAATTACTGCCTTTGAAGCAGACCTGGCCTACATACTGCAGTCCAGATCTCAGTATCACCCTTCACATTAGTGAAGGCAAGTTATTTGTTTTGGTCAAGGTCTTGTAGAGTTAGCCACCATCTTGCATAGACTGGACTCAACAGCCATGTGTTCACGACCAATGATAGTCTTCAGATTGAAGGACATCAGTTGTGTTTTGACCTGTAAAGAGATGGTTTCCACTAGACTCCATAAAATGTATGTCAATCTGGGTAACCTACAGGGAATTCCAGACTGAACACTTTATTTAATCTATGGGTGTAGACTGTTCTCATCTGACATCATCTAGGTCTTATTTTTATTTAATCTATGTAGGTCTGGCTGTTTTCATTCCACTGCCCATCTTTAGCGATATCTTCTCTAGTTCTTATTTTTTAATTGCTCACCCTGTTTCCACTGAAAAATGACAGCAAGTCTTCAACAGTAGCTGCTACTAAAAAGAGAAAAGTTTCAGTGAGTACAGTCAAGCAGCACTCGTCAGCAGACTGGTTAGGTTTAAGGATCCAAGTTCCCCACGGGGAATTGTCCTATGG